TCAAAAATGTCAAGGAACACCAAGAGGGTGGGCGCCTGTAGCTCAGTGGTTAGGGTGCTGGCCACATGCTCCTGGGCTGGTGGGTTTGAACTTGGCCTGGGCCTGGTAAACAAACAAACAAACAAACAAAAACAAACAAACAAGGCAGCACCTGTGGCTCAGAGGAGTAGCGCCCTGGCCCCATATACCAGAGGTGGCCAGTTCAAATCCAGCCCCCACCAAAAAACAAACAAACAAACAACAACAAAAAATAGCTCGGTGTTGTGGCAGTAATTCCAGTTTCTAGGGAAGCTGAGGCAAAAGAATCACTTGAGCCCAAGAGTTTGAGGTTGCTGTGAGCTATGATGCCATGGCACTCTACCAAGGGTGACAAAGTGAGACTCTGTCTCAATTAAATAAAGATAAAAATAAAAAAAACAATAAAGATGGAAGAACCATTTCAGATTGCTGGAGAATAAAGAGACATGAGAACTAAGTCGACATAAAGGCCAGGATTTTCCTCTGCTCTCAGGGACTTTGCTAGATGATGAACGAGAGAGCTCAATGAAGTCCACTAATCAGGTCGTGGATTGTTCAATGTTAACTTCCTGCTTTTGGTAGGTGCAAGCGACTACCCTTATCTTCCAGAAATACACCCTGATGTATTTGGGGGTTAGTGGGCATCCTGTCACTCTTCTTCTTCTCTTTTTTTTTTTTTTTTTTTTTTGAGACTGAGTCTTGCTCTGTCACCCAGGCTAGAGTGCAGTGGCATCATCACAGCTCACAGCAACCTCAAACTCCTGGGCTTAAGCTACTCTTTGCCTCAGCTTCCCGAGTAGCTGGGACTACAGGCAAGCAACCACCACCACATCTGGCTAATTTTTCTATATTTGGTAGAGTTGGGGTCTTGCTCTTGCTCAGGCTGATCTAAAACTTCTGGCCTCAAGCAGTCCTCTTGCCTCAGCCACATGGGTGCTAGGGTACAGGGTGTGAGCTACTGTAATGATTCCAGAAAAAAGTAATTGGAGAGGGTAAAGCTAATATGATAAAATGTTAATATTTGGGAAAGCTAGGAAGCTAAAAATAAATTATTGTTAACAGTATATCTCAATTAAAAAAAGTCAAGGCCAAGAGAGAAGGTAAAATCATAAAAGGCTCTGACCTTAGAGAGGGTCAGAAGGAGGTTCTAATCCTCATCCTCCCATTTGCCACCTACACGGCCTTCGGCCATCTCATCGCTCTGAGTAGAGGGTGATTGCCCTGCCTGGCCCACTGGGTTACTGGAGAACTTTGCAGAATCCCAGAAGCCAGATGCAGTGCAAGATGAAACAAATTTCCCTGAGAATAGAGTCTAAACTGTCCTCCTCCAGAGAGAGGAACAAAAGTCTCCATAAATGGGACCCTGTGAGGTATTAGGATGGGATCCCAGGGGGCCATGCAGGTGCTTTCCTGGAAACTTGGGCATGTGCCTGTTTTTATGTGGCTGCAATCAGTTTTAGAGATGGCTTTTTTCACTTCACGTTGTATCATGCCATTTAGAAAATATGAATTACAGGCCGGGCAAGGTGGCTCACGCCTATAATCCCAGCACTTTGGGAGGCCAAGGGGTGGATTGCCTGAGCTCACTAGTCTGAGACCAGCCTAAGCCAGAGCAAGACTCCCCCACCTCTGAAAATAGCTGGGCATTGTGGTGGGTGCCTGTAGTCCCAGCTACTTGGGAGGCTGAGGCAAGAGAATGGCTTGAGCCCAAGAGTCAGAGGTTGCTGTGAGCTATGACGCCAGAGCACTCTACTGGGGGCGACAAAGTGAAACTCTTGTCTAAAAGAAATAATAAGAACTACAGGGTTCACAGTTATTATTATTTGAGACAGGGTCTTGCTCTGTTGCCTGGGCTATAGTGCAGAGGCATCGTCATAGCTCAGTTACTTCAAACTCCTGGGCTCAAGAGATCCTCCTGCCATAGCTTCCTGAGCAACTGGGACCACAGGCACATGACAGGCTAATTTTTTTTTTTTTTTTTGGTAGAGATGGGAGTCTCACTATTGGTCAGGCTGGTCTCAAACTCCTGGCCTCAAGCGATCCTCCTGTAGTGCTAGAATTACAGGCATGAGCACCGTGCCTGCCCACAGAACCAGTATTTAGAAGCTCTATATAACATTTCAGGAGGGGAGGACAGTCTTTAACATACCATTCCCCCCATGCTGGACATTGCGCTTCCAAATTCTATGATAGCAATGTCTCACAAATTCCTCTGTACTTACAGCTTTGTATGTAGTATAGATTATCCCCTTAGACTAGGTCTCAGTAAATAGGATTACTGGATCAAGGGGTATGAACCAAATACTTTCTACAAGGATTATTTCAGTTTATACTGTCAATAAAAATGCAGGGAAATACCGTTTCGCTGATATATAAAAGGTCAGCATTCTGCTTTCCTATATTTTTTCTTCTAATTTAATGAGGAAATGGTACTTCATTGTCATAACCGGTATTGTTTTGAGTACTCATTAACAGGCTTACAGTTTTCCAATAGAGATTTATAAACTGCTTTTGCCATTTTGTCTGAATGTGTCCTTTGTTCATCTTTTAGGATATTTGCAATGGGGGAAGTTTATTTCAAAATATTAAGGTGGTACACACGTTTTTATTATGTGGATAGTTTTTGTCATGCTTAAGACAGGGTCAGTGTGCCTATGACCTGACTAGTGTTCATCGTACCTGTTAGGTAGGTTTTACCCCTCCATCCTATCTCTCCTCCTTGATTTCCAGTGACTTTTACTTTTCACTATGTCCACTTATGTGTATCCATTATTTTCAAATTATTAGAGAGTACAAGTGGTATTTGTTTTTCTATTCCTGGGATACTTCACTTAGGATAATAGTCTCCAGTCCCATCCAAATTGCTATAAAATACTAATTTGCTCCTTTTTATGGCTGATTAGTACAGGTTTTTAAAAACCTCAATTCTTAAAAATGCTTCATTGAATAGAGATATTGGCTGGGCACTGTGCTTCATGCTTATGGTCCTAGTACTTTAGGAGGCCAAGGCAGGAGGATTGCTTGAAGCTAGGAGGTTAAGGCTCCAGTGAGGTGTGAGGGCATCACTGTCCGCTGGCCTAAGTGACAGAGCAAGACCCTGTCTCAAAAAATAAAAAAAGTGAACAGAGATTTCAATCTTTCATGTTGCTTATATTTTAAAATCCTTTCTAAGACTGTCTGGCTTAAAGAAGAGGGCTGATTTTTCAGTAGTCTGAAATGGTTAAAAAGCGGACGATCTTGTAGTCTATGCCTGAAGATGGTATTTCTCACGTCAACAGATCCTGCAACAAAAAATTAATACTCCAAAGAAATACATTGCTATTCCTTAGCAAGGCCATTAGCAATACCATCTGGGAGCATCTGGGTCAATAAATGAACCCGTTAGACAGGTTTTACTAATTTCCTTAGACTGGCAAAGCCGGAGGGCTAACTTCTGAACGAGAATGAACAAGAACTCCAGGGGATAAATTGTCAAGCTCCCTTTCTAGCTTAGATACAGGTAATTTTCTTTTAAGAAACAGGTAGATTACATTCAACAGACAAGATGAAAAATTTGCTTCTTTCTCATGCCAGAACGGGACACATAAGACTCCCCCAGAGGGAATCCTTTCCTAATCATCAAGGTTCCTGATGAGAAGTGAACAGAAAAAATCCCTATCTCAGGCTTGCCAGGTGATCCATCTTTTCTATAGGAGCTGCACCAGATCCTGTTTATCATTTTAAAAATAGACTGTAGTCAATATTTTTAAAAAGAAGCAGGGTAGAGAGAAGTAGTTCTTGTGAAAAAAGGCCCAGTCCTGGGCTCCTCTGTAAGTACCCATGAAATTCTGGGTACACACTGCTCACACTCGTGCAGCCATGGAGGACTGCTGGGTCTCTGACTGGGTCCAATTTGATGGAGCTGCCGGGACAAAAAGCAGCCCTGCCTTCCATGGGTCTCTGCAGCGTCTGACCCACAGTTTAAATGATGCCTTTCAAAGATGTTGATTTCAACAGCTGAGAAGCAGGACACTTAGCTCCTCAGGGACCAGATGGCCTCTGTCCAGCAAGTATAAGACTAGGAGGTCAAGTGACTTGTACCGCCTTATAGCCTCACCGTGTGACACCCAGGTGACCTGTCTCTACCAAAGTGCTGACTGTCCTCTCAGTCCCTGGAAAGCACTTAAGTTTTTAATAGAAAGGACCTATAATTAGGGCAGCATTTGGTGCTCTGATGTGGGAGAGGATAAGAGGAAAACAGCCCGGGGATTCTTGCCGATAGTTCAGCACAGGACACCATGAAACTTCCCAATCCTGAGATTACCCAAGGAACAGCTGACCTTCCGGCGGCGAGGGCTTACTTGAGAGATGCTTGAACCTCAAGGCAGGGCAAACTATTGGTTTTCCCGACTCTCACAGACCCCAGATGGACTCCCAGACGTTCAGACCAGCCCTCTGCCACTGACCTCAATTTTAGATCTGCTCAACTCTAGAGAGAAAGTTAAGATCTCCTAGAGTGAGACGCAAGAAGGCTAGAAACAAACAAAGACGAAATAAACAGAGACAGTCCCCTGAGAATGTTACACCAGTGGCACTGCAGCCCGGGCAGGGCGCACCACGCCCACTGTGGCACGGGGCGGGGGCCTGGGACTGGCAGCCGCCTAACGTCTCTCTCAGCCTGACCTCCCATGGGCAGCAGAGATGGCCTGACCACAGTGAAGCAGGAGAGAAAGGGCACACAGTGTTTCCCCAGCCCCTTCCAAGTGACCAGGGCCCAGCTCTTGAGGGCGACCTCCTCCTACCCAAGAGGCTGTCCCGAAGCTCAGTCCGGGGCAGGCACAGAGGGGCGCCCTCTGCAGCGGTGCTCAGGCCAGGCCCACAAGCCTGGCATCCTCCCACTGGCCCAGGGCTGGGGTCCCCCGAAGGGCCACAGAGGCAGCAGGCAGGTCCCCATGTGGGTCGCCCTGGGTCGGGGCTAGAGAGAAAGCGCGGCTGCGACCCACCTAACAACGTGGAAGACCCAGAGCAGGCGGTCAGTGCAGGGTCCGCGCCCGGCGCGGACGATGCTGAGGTACAGGTAGAGGGCGATGGCCACGGTCCAGAAGAAGGAGCTGGTGTTGGCGAAGGTGGAGAGCGCGCCCTGCAGCACGCAGTCCCACGAAGGGCCCGCGAAGTCCTGCAGCACCCCGTAGAAGTAGGAGGCGGCCGAGAGCAGGTCTGCCAGCGACAGGAAGAGCAGCAGCCGCCGCGCCCGGCTGCGCAGGTCGGGCCACAGGGCGTGGGTGGCCACCAGCAGGCCAGAGCCGAGCGCCGAGAGCGCGCACGACAGCAGCACCACGGCGCGCTCCGACGGCACCAGCACGGTGGGCGGCGGGGGTGACAGCATAGCCCGCCGGGGCCCAGTGGGCCGGGGCGCGGGGTCGCCGCGAGGACAGAGGCCAGGTCGAGAGAGCGGCCGCCGCCGTCTGGGTACCGAGGCGCCGGTGGCTCGTGTCCCGGCGCCAGCCCCGCCCGCGTCCCGGCCCACCGGGCCAGCTGCCCCGCGCCCCACCGCCCCGCCCACTAGCCCCGCCCACGCACCTACACCCCGCCCCTGCGCCCTCCACGCCCCGCCCCTGCTCCCAGGGCCTCTGGATCCTGCCACGCCCTCCCACCACGCCCCTGCGCCCAGTCCTGTGAACCCCATGTCCTACCCGGTGTCCCCAGAATGCTTCCCGCTACCGCTGCTCTCGCCCGATGCCTGGGACATCCCGTCCTGGCGGGGCTGGCATTTTTAGAGCTAATATTACTTTCCTTCCTTTCAGCCAGCTGATATGTGTAGGGGGTTGGAGGCGTTCTTTCCACTGGTAGCAGAACAACTCTGTGTGATTCTCATTCCTTAAGCTATGACACCGAAGTGTTCACAGGTTGGTGGTGGTGACTTGGGGCAAGCGGGTGTTTCCAATTTTTCTTCTAACGTGCATACACTTTTTTCCAAAAATGTTGAGCTAATTAGATCGGATTTTTAAAAAATGAAATATTCCGAATTTACAGGGGGTTTTTCCTTGTTTGAAAATTTCACACTTTTTAATTGAGAATCAAATTACATACAGTAAAACTAGCCTTTTAACGGTACAGTTCAGTGGTTTTTAGTATATTCATGAGTTTGTGCATCCAACACCATCATCTCATTCTGCAACGTTTTTATCACCCCCCCAGAGAAACGCTAATCCCTCAGCTATTAGCACCTTCCCCCACCCCCACCGGCAACCACCTTCTGTGTGCATGGCTTTGCCCATTCTGGACGTTGCTACACATGGAATCATAAACTATTTGGCCTTCAGTCTTGACTTCTCTCAGTTAGCTTAATGTTTTCAAGAGTTATCCAAATTGTAGCATATATTAGTACTTTATTTCCTCTTATGGTCAACTAATATTCCACTGTATGAACACATAACATTTTACTTACCCATTTACCAACTGATGGACATTTGGGTTGTTAACACTTGTTGACTATTATAAATAATGCTACCATGAAAATTCGAGTCCATGTTTTTGTGTGGTCATATGTTTTCAGTTTTATCTCTCTCTTTTTTTACTTGAGACAGGGTCTTGCTCTGTCCCCCAGATTGGAGTGTAGGGCATAATCCTAGCTCACTGCAACCTGGAGCTCCTGGGCTCAAGCAATCCACCTGCCTCATCCTCCCAAGTAGCTGGGCCTACAGGTGTGCACCACCACACCCAGCTGATTTTTAAATTTCTTGTAGAGGCCTGGTGCGGTAGCTCACACCTGTAATCCTAGCACTTTGGGAGGTCAAGGCAAGTGGATTGCCTGAGCAACAGCAAGACCTCATCTCTACTAAAAATAGAAAAAACTAGCTGTAGTTGCAGCTACTTGGGAGCCTGAGACAAGTGGATGACTTGAGCCAAAGAGTTTGAAGTTGCTGTGGCTATGACACCATGATGCTCAACCCCAGGGCAACTGAGTGAGAGTCTGTCTGAAAATTTTTTTTTAAGAGATGGGCTTTTGCTACATTGCCCAGGCTGGTCTTGACTTCCTGGCCTCAAATGATCCTCCCACCTTGGTCTCCTTAAGTGTTGGAATTACAGGTGTGAGCCACTGTGCCCAGGGTTGATTTTCTTAGTATACACCTAGGAGTACAATTGCTGGGTCACAAGGTAGCTTTATATTTAACCTCTGAGAAACTGCTGCACTCTTCCAAAATGACGGTACCTTTTACATTCCCACCAATATGAGAAGGCGCCCGTTTCCCTACGTTCTTCCAACACTTTATTATTATCTGTCTTTGTGATTGATTATAGCCATCCTAGAAGGTGTGAAGTGGTATCTGATTGTGGTTTTGATTTTAATTTCTCTAATGATGAATAACGATGTTGAGCACCTTTCCGTGTATTTACTAGACATTTGCACATCTTCTTTGGAGAAGTGTCTATATAGTTTTCTTGCTTGTTTTTTAAATTGGTTTGTCTTTTTATGGAGTTAGAAAAGTTCTTTATATTTTGTGGATACTAGACCCTTGTCAGGTACATGATTTGCAAATATCTTCCACGTTCTGTGGGTTGTCTTTTTCACTTTCTAGATAGTGTCCTTCAAAACGCAGAAGTGTTTTTTTTGAGGCTGTCCAATTTATCTATCTTTTTCTTTGGTTGCTGTGCTTTTGATGTCACAGCTAAGAAACTATTATCTAATCCAAGCTCATGAAGCTTTGCACCAATGTTTTCTTTTTTCCAGTACCACACTGTTTTAGTGACTGTAGCTTTACAGTAAGTTTGAAGTTGGGAAGTGAATCATTCAATGTCATTTTCCTTTTTTAATATCGAGTTGGCTATTTGAGGATCCTTGCTATTCTAATTTGAGGATCGGTTTTTCCATTTCTGCCAAAAAGCCATCTGAGAATTTGTTAGGGACTGCCTCGAATCTGTAGATAAATTTGGGGAATAATGCTGCCTTAATAATATTAAATCTCTTCCTTCATTCACAGATCTGGGATGTTTTCCATTTATTTAGATCTTTAATTTCTTTTGATGATGTTTTGCAGTTCTTGGCATGCCTTAGGTTTGACTTTACATTTCATTCATAGAAGGGAAAGATTATCTTTATGTCTCTAACTTTTAAAAATATTGCTTTATGAAATATGCATATGGAATGTGCCTACGATATGAATGTACAATTTAATAAAGCAAGCCACCATCCAGAGCAAGAAATATAACATCACCAGCACCCAGCAGCCTCCCCCTTGCTGCTTCCTCATTTTCTTTTTATTTATTTATTTATTTTTTATTAAACCTTTTTTTTTTTTTTGCAGTTTTTGGCCAGGGCTGGGTTTGAACCCACCACCAACTTCAGAATCTGGGGCTGGCGCCCTATTCCTTTGAGCCACAGGTGCCGCCCAGTCATTTTCTTCTTTATAAAATCATCCGTGTATGGTTCCCTAAACAAAATAGTGTAGTTGGCCTGTTATTGAGCAAATCTGTAAGTGGAATCATACCCTGTGTCCCCTTTCCTGTTTTCTGGTTTTTTGTTCACCATTATTTCTGAGAGATTCATCCATGTCCTCATACCCAGGTGCAGTGCATCCGTGTTCATCGCTGTATACTATGCCATTGTATAAATATCAATAATACCAATAACCTATTTATTCATTCTATTGTGTACGGACATTTGAGTTGTTGCCAGGTTTGGGCTATTATTAGCAATGCTGACGTGAGCATAGATTCTTTTTTAATCAGAAATAAACTTACTAAAAACAATTCTCGGCAGCATGAGCAGATGTATTTGTAGAGTTTTTTCTGCAGGGAGCTGAAGAGCAGCTGTTTTCTTTCCAAGTCACTTCTGATCGTTCAAAAGTCCCCTGACCTTCTCCTGAGAGGACCCCAGACCCTCAACAGAGCCTGGCTGAGAGTTCTGTTAGTGAAGCCTCCCACCTTTTAATAGTGTGAAAAGTTTTAAGCTTGGATTTTGCAACCAGCCCTGGGCTTTGGCACAGACTCCCTCTCTGTATCATGGTCATTTCATCCTCTGGATATTTGGGAGGAGGGGGGAGTACAGGAGGGGACAGGAGAGGTCTCGTGGCATCCTGCTGTGTCCACTACATCTTTCCTGCCCTGTTGAGATTAAAGTGCTTTGCCTCTGCAGGTGAGCAGTTGGCTATTTTACAGACAATTTTGATCAGGAAATTGCTCAGTTTTTCTTTGTGCTGAAAAACAACATTCAAAGAATGTTTCATACTTTTATACTTCCTGCAACTATGAAAAAAATGCAAAAGACATTCAGTGATAGATCCTCACCTTGCTAGTATTTAAGCTTGAACCTAATTTTCCACCATCTGAGCTTGGTGATATTGGCCAGATGAGTCCAGATAGCAATCAGGAGGTGAGAATTGTGACTCCCAAGAAGCTGGATGATCCTCAGCTGCCTGGCTTGGCCTCTACCAAAGGGAACCAGGGATCCCCAACCCCAGCTGCCTGATAGAGTTCCTGGGGCTTTGCTTCTCCTACTCCGGGGTCTGCTAGTTCTCCGGGGAGGCACAACCAAGAGAAGCCCCAGCCGGGGAGCTGCCTCTGACAGTCCTCACCCCACGAGGCCTGTGATGTCCCATTAGCCACATCTCAAATTTCTGCTCTTTCGTTCCTTCCTCCCCCTCCTTGTGTTTGGGGGAATTGGTAAGAAACCCAAATGGATTCTTCTTTTGACCCCGAGTTATTTCATTAGTGGTTGTGCCAAGCCAGCTGGCAGTTGTCTGTTGCTCCATGTCCAGCGTCCAAAGGGGTCATGTCTGATGTCCTCACACATCATCATAGCCTCCCTTGCACCCCGTATGTCTGGCTGTAGAACTAGGGGCCCAGGCCCAGAAGACCCCGCAGCTATGGCCGGGGGGGCCCCAGCAGGAGGGGGCGTTGCTTTGCTCCCGTCTTCTCGTCTCACCCCAGGAGCTGGCACAAGTGTGTCCTCCTCTGACAACTGCCAAAGGGGTGACAGTTTAATGTCTCTAATTTGGAGGAGCCCTGAATGATTTTCTAAGGTCAATTCAACGTAAGTTATAAGCCACAAATGTGGCTTTTAAAACTAGAACAGAAGAGGGACTTCCCTCGTATTTCTGGAGAAAACGCAGGCCGGCCACCTTTCTCATTTCCCTGTTTGAAGGTGAGTGTGGCACCGGCTCTGCCTCTGGTCCTTGCTCAAATCATCACTGCAGGGAACTTGTCTTGCCCCTTCCCACCCAGACACCATGCCAGTGATGGCTGAGGAAGAGGAACCAGGCCCATGGGGACCCCCTATCCAACCTCTCCCCACCGGAGGCTGTGTGACCCCTATGCATGTTCATATGGCAATTGGGGCACATAGGTGCCAGAGTAGGATGAACCTGACCAGCCACATTTCTGGAG